GTGGATGGGAAGAGCCTGAAGATGACCGATGCGGACATGGAGTTCCCGGAGACGGTCGTCGTGGACAACCTCGTCGCCTTGCAGGACCTCTTCGAACTGAGGGCTAGGGCATTTCATATCCTCGACGTCTGCAAGTACGACGTAGTGAAGGCCTATGGTGAGCGGATCATAGCCAGCCTGCGAGGAGTGACCGCAGAGGGCATGCGCAACCCCACCATGAACGAGGCCCGTCGCGCAGATCGAGAGATCTTTGGTGAGATCCTGAAGTGGGTGGCGAAGGGCAAAGGCTCAGTAGAAGCTGGGCTCAGCCACTACACCCGGGAGTTCGCAACTGAACCGCTCTGGAAACTCCTCAGCCAGCAACCGGAAGGCCACCCGGATCAAGGAAAGGAGCGGCCTTCTACTAGCAAAGGCGGTCGAGATGACAAGAAGGGCGTGAAGAGGTCGCGTACCCCGGAGCGCTCCCACAAGGAGAAGCCAGGTGATCCTCAGAGACTCCGAATGTGCATCGTCTGCCGCAAACGCCATGAACCACGCTGCCAGATCCCTCCCGGATTCCGGAAGGAGCAGAAACAGCAATCTCGTGAGCAGAAGCGGAAGTGGGACGAAGAGCACAAGAAGGAGAAAGGAGGCAAAGACACCAAAAAATAGGGACAGCTCCTCTCGGGAGCGCACGCGACCTGCGCTCCGGGAGGCCATGAGTTTTTGAAATCCTCGGAACTTCAAAGAGAGGAGAAAAAGGTCGCCGAACCCTGAAACTTGTTGAGGGGCCGGGATGTTTTAAACACAGTAGCCTGTTGCAGCGAGACCTTGAAGTCTCAGACCTGCAGCATTGGGGTCCCAATTGCTGTACCTTCTCCCGGGCTCGTGAGAAACCAATCCCAGGAGTCAAGGACTCCCCTGTGCCTCTTAGGAGTTCAAATTTTCCAGAGGGTATTCCGACGGTGGTGACCGGTCTCCCCGCTTAAAGAAACGTAAGTTGGACTTAGATACACGCATGGCTGACATGGCTGCTTTAAACTGCCTGAAGGCCAAGCGCTCGGGGAAGTTCTTCACCCTGGAGCATCCGAAGAACTCCATCGCCAGAGACCTGGAGTCCTGGAAGAATTTGGAGTCGGAAGAAGGGGTGTGGGCCACGGAATACCATTCATGCATGTTTCGGGGAAGTGAGAGGAGGAAAGCTCAGGTCCTCATCCACAATATCCCCTTGTTGAATAGTAGGTTGAATTTGATTTGTAACAGTAGTAGGGTTTGTACGCGCACTGGGAAGCCCCACCTTTCCTGGAAGCCGAGGGTTGAGAAGGGAAGAGTGACATCCTTCGCAACCAGCCTAGAGAGGGAATACCCAGAGGGATTCTGTGAAGCGTACGCACATGCCATAGGAGGCTACTCGATGCCCCGTCCACACATTCGTAGAGGTCTTCTCAGGGCCAAACGCGCCTCTTTCGTGCGCTGTGGCAAGAGCCTGGGGCGTTCATCCCCCAGTCCCTCCAGACACAGTGAAGCCTCCAGGGCTTGAGAAATCAGAACTCACAGATGGACGCATCGAACCGCAGGCAACAACCAACCTCTCAACATCAGCCACATCCATACCTGGAAATCCAGGGATCACACTCGATGCAACTCCTACGGTCGAAACCGTGCAGCCGCGTGCTCAGGCCGTGGAGGCAGCTAAACAGCCGAGTTTCGGGAAAAGGCAGCAGCTCATACCCAATGGGCTGAACGACGCCATTGCCCATTTCAAGCAGGCGTGCAAGTTACAACACCCATTCTCATCGATGGCAACCCTCAAGGCGGATCACCAGGAGTCATTGCGCGCCCTGGACAGAAATCCATCAACATTGGTTCGCTACCGCCTCGAACAGCTCACCAAGGTCAGGAAGCTCAAGTCTGAGCTGATCGCGGAGCAGCGGCGAGCAAACGCATCGGCAGCCTGGACGGCACGAAAACTCAGCATCAGGCCAAACACCTGTCTGATGGAGAGGCTGCAGTCCCTGCTGCACATCGAAGACACAGATGTCCCCCAACTATGTCTTGACGGGATGCGCATCAGGGAAGGCACAAACCTCCCCATTTTTCGAACCCTTCGAAGTTAGGCCAGTGATGTCGCGTGACACCTGCCTAAACGGATGTCAAGAGCGATCCCTGGCCATGATCGAAAGGGTCCGGCACATGGCCCAGAGGGGTCCCCCAGAGATGGCAAAGGCCATCTGGGAGAAGACCCAGAGGGAAGTTGAGGCCGGCGCAATGGGTCCGGCTATTACACTGGACCAAGCCCGCGCCAGGTACGGCTCGGAGGTGCAGGTCACACCAAGCTTCGGCCTAGCTCAGGGCACCAAGTTTCGCCGGATCGATGACCACACAGCGTCAGGTGTGAATCAGATGGCCCACCGGCTACAGAAGGTCCCCATGACAATGGTCGATTACATTGGTGTCATGCTCAAGGCCCTAGCCTCCCAGTCAACATCCATCCAGCTGGCCACGGAAGACATGAAGTCCGCCTATCGCCAGATCGCATTGCACCCTGCAGACGTCAGGTTCGCCATCACCGGAGTATACAACCCGGAAACTGATGAAGTCTCACTCCACGAGATGTACGGACAGCCTTTTGGCGCCGGACACTCAGTCCCCAACTTTTGCAGAGTGGCGGAGTGGATTTCCCGTTGCTCTGTTCGCCTGTTTCACACCTTCTCTGACCATTTCTTCGACGACTTCTTTTGCCTTGAGCCTTCTCAAACCATTGAGTCCGCTCTCTTCTGCCTTAAAGCTCTTTTCACCGAACTAGGCTTCCAGCTCGACCCTGACAAGTCGCAAGTTCCATCACACACATGCGCCATCCTTGGCATCATGTTCTCAACCCAGTGCTTAGCGGCCGAACGTAGGATTCACTTGGAGGCGAAGCCATCTCGAGTCGCCAATCTTTGTGAGACCATTTGTCAGGTGCTGACCACAGGCCAACTTTCGGCTGCATTGGCAGCCAGCATTGTTGGGAAGTTTGGTTTCCTGTGCTCCACCTTATTTGGCAAGGTGGGTCGTTGTTGCACTGGTCCTTTGCGCAAGCGGCAGTACTCCCAACACAAGTTCCAAGGTCTGACTCCTGACATTAAATGGTCGCTCCACATGATGTTGGCCTTCCTCAAGTTTTGCCCCTCACGAGAGCTCGCGTTGACTGACACTCCACCGGTCGTCTTGTACACCGATGCCTCGGATGTTCCCGGTCGTCAGCCACAAAGGCTGATAGGAGCAGTTCTCTTTCTCCCAGACTCACACCAGCTTCTGTACTCTGCAGAAGAAGTTCCCCACACAATGGTGCAATCCTGGCGCCCACGGAAGACTTACATGGGACAACTGGAACTGGTCGCACCGCTGTGGGCTCTTGAGCTCTGGAGCCAGCCACTTCAAGAGCGCTCCGTCCTCTTGTTCGTTGACAACGACAGCGCTGCCACCAACTTGGTAAAAGGCTATTCCCCCCAACCTGACAGTTCAAACCTTGTTGGATCCTTTTGGCTGCGAGCCGCCCAACTTAAGTTGCATATATATGTTGATCACGTAGAGTCCAAAAGCAATATTGCTGATGGACCCTCACGAAATTCATTTGCAGAAGTCATCCAGTTGGGAGGAACTTGGACACCGCCCAAGACTGGCACCTTGGGTGGGCCCGCCACACTCTCCCCTTTCCAGCTGGCGCACTGGAACACCGGGGGGAAGATTCAGAGAGAGGTGACATTCGATAACCACCCAACCTGCGGGGGGAGGTAGAGTTGGGTGTTTCTCTCTGGGTGAGTAGTTTAACGTTAAGGTTCCTCTGGGATTGCATGGGTCCTACTAGAGGGACATCTGACGTTAGACTG